CCCCAAAACCCCAAAACCCCAAAACCCCAACTTTCTTAACATAAATTGAATATTCTTGGCAGAGATGGATGAAATTGGTACTTTTTCTACCTCAAATTTAGCAGATGTGATGGAGATAAAGGAGTTCCACTCCTTTAGGATGGTACACAGGATAATTAAGAAGAGAATAATGACCAAAGTCAAGTAATTCATCAAGTTTAACAACAATAGTCGCCATATTTTGGAAGGAGAGCTGAGCTATCATGCTCCAAGGATTGCTATTAAGGATATCGTATGGTGCCTTGATGAACTCCTGTTCCAAAATAACATGGGGTGAGTAGATTTTAAATTAAAATTTAGCCTCAAAGGAGTGGAGAATAAGGATGATGTACCACTAGATGAGGAAGATGAACCAATCCCTCCTTCATTTGACACTTACTGCATAAATAAAATCGGAGTAAAGAGGACGATCAAGATTCAAAAATTAGGTAATCCTTGACTTTATCTGTAGAAGACACTCAGCCAACTCTTGAGGTAGCTTCACAGACCAAGACTGTTGAGTCTGCCCTGAGCCTCCTACGTAGAGGTTTCAAGAAGAAAGCTAATATAAACAATAGAAGGTAACTTTCTGAATCTCAATAATGACCTTGACTTGACTAAGCTCGGTGTTAGTTGTGAGCAGGTAATTCTTCGTGTAATAATTATCCTAGATAAGTGTATATTCTTCCAGAAACCCCAACTCGGATCCCAAGGCCCATACTTATGATGACGGCATTCAAGAGCATCTGCTTGATCGGATGAGAATTATTGCTAACAGACAGCAAGAGGCACGTAAATAAGAAAGCTGCTCAAGAGATTGCTCTAGAGAAGGTCAAAGAGAAAGTACAAAGGATCGAATGTAAGCGACACTTCCAGTCATCTCCTTTATAGCTGTTGCCCAACTGACACAATGATTCGAGAACGGAACTTTTGTAAATGTCAAAAATATCGAAGCAAAGAAGTTACCAACTCTTGAAGAAGAAATCTATGGCTATGTTGACGAAGACGAATCTGAAGATAGCTCAGATGACGAGGATGGCAAGTCCGGACATTCCCAAGAATTTGGAACGACTAATGCATCTAGAGGATTCACTGGCAATCTTTCAGGTACTCCCATGCAATAAATATAGAAATCGCTAAGGCAGATACTAAAAATTCTAAAGCCATTTCTGAGATGGTAAATGACGATGGCAAGGAGGTTGCCCAAAATGAAGAATACAAGATCGACCGTGAATACACTCAGAAGCAGGTATGGCTTCTTCCTCATCACTAGGACATTACTGACTGCTTCATGCCTCTCAGGAAATTCCTTGAGTGCAACTACGGAGTATGATACCGTGAGAAGGCCAAGGAGAGAGAAGAAACAGAGGAAGATAAATAAGAGAGTAAGCTTCTATTCAAACCTTAGCTTGCCGATCAAAAGAAGGAAGAAAACAGGAAGAAGCTTCAAAGAGTAAGACTTGGCTTATTCATATTAGGACATGAGGAAGAAGAAAGGCTCTAATAAGAAAAACAAGAAAAAGAAGGAAGAAAAGAAGGAAGAGCCTAAAGAAGAGGAGCCCAATGAATTCTACATGAAAGGAAAGCCCTATAAGGACAAGTATGATGGCATCCGGCTTACTAAAGGAGATTACCAGACTAAGTTCTCTATTGCTTCGGAAAAGATCAAGATTAACTTCCCTGGGGTTGCTATAAATGAAGATGGCACTTTGAGGTAAGACTTTTTAGTAAGTTTTAGGAAAATAAATGAACCCCCTAAAAGGAGAAAAAGCACTATGAAAGAGGTTCAAGGGATATTTAGAAGCAGAAAGTCCATTCTGAGAATCAAGCAAGCTGGTTCTCAAGAGCGCAAGAGAACTCACTTTGCTAGTGATTTAGATCTCGTACAGAGTAAGTTGCATAGTTTAAACCTTCTAGGCCAGGAGAAAGGTGGTAAATCAGCTGTGAAATTACCTCAGATACAGAAGTAAGAGCCATATCTCATATCTAGAACGCAGGAGATCACTGAGCATACTCCTGAAGCTAAGAGATTCCTTCTCCATGAAGTTCCGGGTATCCATCCTACTTATCTCTAGTAATGAAAGTAAAGAAGATCAGAGTTGATACTAAAGAGAGGAAGAAGAGATTACTTGAGTAGCTTCTACTTGCTTACCTTTAGGTCTCTGAGTAAGACAGTTCATGATAAATACAACACTGCTGCTGTTCTGGATAGGAATTGGGGCAAATCTTCCAAAGTTGCCACAGAATTCGATAAAAGGTATCCCTCCAGTTCTAGCTATAGGGTTCATAGGAGAGTTAACTTCAATAAGTCAAAGCCTAAGGTAAAAATTCGTATAACATGACTGATAATTTTGTGTAGGCAGGAATCTGCTTCAGGAAATTGAACAAAACGGTATGGGTCTTGAGTTATTGATAGGTTGTCCCGTCTGAAAAAGACAGCACTCCACTTTCAAAGGTATGAGATTTGGCTTGACGTTTAGACCATCTCACTTACAAATGCGAAGTTTACAAGTAAGATTTGGTGGTTGAGTTTGGCATAGAAAAATCTAAAATACCAGCAGTACTGGGACTAAGGACTAATTTAAGAGGTTATGATGTGCTTGAGATAGAAGAGTAAGTTTAGATAATTAATTTTTAGCGAATAGAATAGTCATATGTGAATATTTCTGAGATGAATTTTCAATATTTATAAATTAAACAGGGGTTTTGGGGTTTTGGGGTTTTGGGGTTTTGGGGTTTTGGGGTTTTGGGG